TTCCATAATTTTTTAAATATTTTTGTTATTTACATGTGGTCTATTTTTAATACGATGCGATATCATCAAGTCTCTTAAATTTTAAGGACTAAAGATGATCCTCCATCAATTCCATTGCTCTAAAAATATGTGTAAAAAAAAAAGTTTTTTTTAAAAAAAGAACAAAAGAACAAGAGAAAAAAATAGAGAAAATGCTAAGTTAATTCAACAAATCTCTTATCTAATAAGGATCGATGTTATTAATTGAATTAAATTAATCATCCTTAGTAATTAATTCATTCTTCGACACACCAATTATGTCGAGATTTAAGTCGGATCCGATGTTGAATTGATGATACTCTCGGTTCAATACGATGCCATAAAAAAAACTAATTTGATGTAAGCGATAAACTTGAAAATTGATTATGTAACACTCCCGACCTAAAGGAGGCCAAGAATGCTACTAACAATGCCTCACACTCGTAGTGCAATGAATGCGAGACACTCAGCCTTATATGCTCTATTTTGAGTAATGCACTCGTGGAATTTTAATTAACCTTTTAAACTTGTTTATATATTAACATTTACCATTGTTTATCCTTTAATTCTAAACCATTATTTATGGTACATACTTGGCAAACTTGGCTCCCTCCTAACGACATTTTCAGCTTCGGACCATGCCATCGGGATCATTTGCTTACCTACATACTACAAGACAACTATGAGTTAAAGCTTAGTAAGTGGAATCATGCATGAATGGAAAAAATATATCTTTCATGACATTAAAATACGTTTTATGTGATATACGCACACCCCGTCGAATGTCTATATATTTGGCCCTTAATGAAAACTATCTTTTGTGAGAAACCATGAAAAGCACTAAAAATATTCCATTCCGGTGAAGATTGCAAAACTCACAAAGGGTTGATCACTCCTTTTTGTAAGCTATCTTGTCATCTTGAACATGTCTAGTCGTTAGCCTTGTAGGCCTTTTTCTTGAAAATCAAGCACATGTCATTTTCTTTGAATGCATAAAAACACAATAAAAATAATTTTATAGCATGAATGCATTCTAAATGTAAGATCTTAAGTAAACACATAACATATAGCCAAGTATCATTAAGCATAATCGTGACATGAACATATAACCAAATAACCTCAAATATAATCATGAACCCAAATCCATCAAGCAACATAACACATGTTCAATCAAACAATAAACATAAATATAACATCATAAGAATTCAATCAAACACATGAGCACAACATCAAGTAATCACATCTTTACAAGTGATCAATCATCAAGTGAGTACTGAAATATAACAACCCTAGGACACCTAAGTCTTGTGGCAAATTGAGACTACACTTATAAATCATCAATCATCATATGATCACTAAGCCTTATAACATCTATGTAAACACCAAGTAAACACTTAAACATATTAAAACCTATAACACATATGTTCAATCATCACTCAAACACATAAAATCTTTATCGTGTGCTCGTGGTGGATTACACTCACCTTAGGTTTTGGCTAGTTCTAAAGCTCTTAAAGGTTTTTCCTTTCTTCCTTGTTTTTCTCTTTGCCAAAGTCTCTTCTTTTTTCTTTCTCCTCGACCAAAATCTCCCTCTCGGCCAAATTCTCTCTCTCTCACCCTTTCAGCCAAGTTGGTTTTCCTTGGCAATTCTAGTTCTCTCTTTCTTGTTTTCTCTCTTGTTGCTCTTATGTGTAAGGCCTAGCCACTCTCCTCTTTTTATAGTTCTCTTTGCCGACCTAGGACGGTTCATGAAAGGTAGGCTTATCACTTGTATTAAGTAAAAAAAAAAAAAAACTAGATGTTTTTCTACATTAAGAAAGGTTTTCTATACTTAAATATTAAGTATTAAGTATTTTCTAGATTTTTCTACATAATTAATATACTTATCTTTAGATATTAAGTATGGAACTTTCTAGATTAATCTAGATTAACCTAGACTAACAATTGTATAAGATATTAATTAAGCTTTATTTTTGGGTTAAATATGTATAAGACACTTAATCAAGTTATATTTTTAGCTCTCTTAAGTGTGAATGACTTTACAAACTAGTTGCCTTACTTTGCGACTTAGTTCATTTAAGTCCTTAATATTTTAATTAATATATTTAGGTCTCTTAATCACCTACATGCCTTCATCATTTAGTAACATGCATTTGCAAAATCAAACATTCACCTATGCAAATAAAAAGCATATCATCAATGCAAACATAAGCCATATCATCAATGCAACACAAAGTATAACATTAATGCAAAAACAAGACATGATGTGCATATACTTGGCATAACAAACACATAAATACATAGGAATGATGCATGATGGCATAGTGTGGAGTTAAAGATGCTATCGGGAGCGAGCCAAGTTTTCCAAGTATGTACTATAAATATTGGTTTAGAATTAAAGATTAAACAATGGTAAAGGTTTATGTATAAACAAGTTTAAAAGGTTGATGAAATGGTTTTAATTCTACTCGTGCATCACTTGAGATAGAGGATATGAGACTTAGTATCTCACTTTCATTGGACTACGAGTACAAGTCATTATCGAGTAGAATTCTTAGCCTCTTTTAGGTTAGGGGTGTTACGGACTCGAAATAAATTTGGCAAAAATACAAAATTTTAGGAGATAAATTTTTAAAATTAAACCGGAGATAGTACATTTCCTTGAAAAAAGTATTTTTGGGTGATTGATATCTTTTCAAAGGCATAACTACTTATCCTAAAGTTTCTAAATCAATGTTTTTTTTTTTTAGGTTTTCTAGTTTCCTTTAATACCGTGTGGTAACCCCAAAAATGTTGGTTAACTCACATCCCTAATAAAATAAATAATTAGTAAAATAATTTTAATAATTTTTGAAAGTCCCTTAAATGTCAAATAGGCATAACACACACCTTTTTGTATTCTCAATAGAAGAAATTTCTTTATTTTGAATGTATTTTAATTCTTAATAAATTAAAATTACTTGAACATCTATAGTAGTGGTGTGGGACTTAACATGAGCAACAAAAGCAAAGTGCCTTACCAATTTGAAATTCCAATAATGTCTAATCTCTTCTTTAGGTATTTTTAGTTGCAAGAAATACCTTAATTTTTATAGCTAATTCACCCTTTAATAAAGTGTGGTTGGTCTTAGGATACGATTAGAAAAAACCAACTTCATCCAAATTCCAAGCTATTATCAACCAACAACATTGAAGCTTATACTAAGGTTTGCTTTATGTAGTTCTAATCGATCTTACGGATGTATATGTTGCATAAGAATGTCTAAATCTTAAATAGATTTATTAGCGAGAGATCATATGCATGCCTTATTAAAATCACACCAAACCCTCTTAGCTTGGTCTTTTTTTCAAAATCAACCTTTAATAACCTCATATAACAAACTTCTAAATTAGCGGGAAGTCCATCTTTTCATTATGATGGAATGGAGAACTAGTTTTAAATCCATATGAAGCTTCAATCAATCATGTAGCAATATGGGTTAGGATTCAACCACTTGTAGTGAGGTATTGTGAGAAGTCACTTTGTACTCACATTAGTAATAAACAAGGATGAACTATTTCGATTGATAATAATACCGTATATAATAACGTAGTCTATATTCATTATGGAAATATGACCACAATCGATAAACTTATGATGAGTTATTAAAACTCAATAATATAAATGTCATGAATGAAAATTCTTCTCCACCTTTGGTCTCAATTATAGATTTAACTCATATGGTTATATAAAAATTATTGAATATTATGGATTTATAGATGTTGGTGTAGAAGAACATCAAACATAGGGGCAAAAAACCTATTATATCCGAAGTTCAAGGTAGTGTACAAGCTAAATTAGAGGCAAATATTATAGGCTTAGGTAACTCTATAAATGGAAAAACTCTCGAATTGCAATTTGTTTGGTTATTTTTTTTTTGGAAAAATATAGTAGAAAATCAAAGGTTGTGAGCCAGGAGTTGATATTTTCTTATTGCTAGATTGCAAAGAAAATAATTAACATGTTATATTTTTTATAACTTTATCTCTTCTCTTTAGAAGTTATGTGTTTTTTTTAGGGGAGAGGGAGGGCTAGCTAGCCAGTTCCTTCGTAACAACTAGTGCTTACCAAAAAACGATATTGGCTAATGATCCTAGCCAATACTACTATTAGCTAGAGTTATGTGCTCATTTTTTTTTCAATCATTTTAAAGTTCAAACAATTTGAAGATGTTTAAAAACATCAAAAGTAGTAACCATTTTAATCTCATAAATTCAACCCATTTTTTTGTTCTTTCTATACAATACTAGTTTATTCTTAGCAACAAAAAAGCCAAACAAACTAATCTTTATGCTTTGTGTTTTATTATTATTATTATTTTTTACTTGCATAATCATACAAATAATTTAGCTTTGCCACTTTATTTTGGTCCTTAAATAGCCATAATATTTTGGCTCTATCACTTGATTTTGGTCTCCGACCAACCACATCAATTTGGTGTTTTCACTCTAATTTGGTACATAACCAACCATACTAATCGGCCTTGCCACTCTATTTCGATCTTTGACGACTACTCTTATTTGTACTTGCTACTCTATTTTAGTCCTTAACTAGGTATAAATAGAGAGCTTTCAAGATAGATAGGTATAGAGAACTTGCTTGATAGATAGGTATCCCCTTCAAATGCCATGATAGACACATTGTCATATGCCATTCCTTTGCTAAAAAATTAACATAGTATAAGTAGAAAAATTTTTAGATAGAAAAGTAGTCCTCTAAATATCATGATAGGAGGCATATCCCTTGCTAGTTCTCGGCTAAAAACTTTACACACACACACACCATCAACATTAAACAATCTTCAACTATAAGAGAAAACCAATCTTTCATGAAACTTGTTCTTTTTACTAGGAAGAAACACTAAAAAATTAAAAAAAAAATTGAGAACAAGTTTATTAGATATGGATTTGTTAATTAAAAAATAGATGAGTATTTTTATAACGTCGGTCTATGGATTCGGAACTTGACTAATATAGCCTTTTTCAACAATCGCATCAATTCTTCAGCCATGTTCTCTCTGCCACTACTTAAGAAATCATTCTTTGTTAACATGAACAAATCCCATGTCAATCTTTCTAATAAGCTTGGACCACCATATCTTTTGTTTGAAATAAATCTGCTCTAGCCTCATGAAAGGTGCCTTTTTGAATAGGTTGCATCGTTTTTATAGTCATATTTTGTATGACATATCGCTATACAACATTCATAGGACTCCTAAAATTTTATTTATGATTTGTTTTAGCTGAATTTTTTTATTTGGGGATGTAATTTATTATTAATTTCAAAGTCGTTACCTAATATTAAAGGAACTAGGAACCTAAAATGGACATTAGTTCGGAGATTCTAAGGTAAATAGTTAGTCATGCTATTGGAAAGATATCAATCATCCAAAGGTATCATTTTCTAAGAAAGGTACCACATCCGTTTTAGTCTTAAAGTTTATCTCCTAAAATTTTTACTTTACCAAGATTGATCCTTAGCTAAAATTCTAAGTTTTATTTTCTAAGCCAAATTAATATTTTTATTTTTATTTATGACATCATATTAAACCGATCATTGGACCCCTCTCGTCGGGCATCTCATCACTCAACATAGGATTTAGTTTAAGTCTCAACATAATCAATATATCAAAGAACTACCTAATTACTAAGATGAGATTGATTTGAGTTAAGATTAAAACAATTTTTCTTCTCCATATTACTATATCGCTACGATAAATAATTTTATATGAGAAACTACCGAACTCATCTCTATTAGATATGACACTTTGTTAATTTTCACCTAGCATTTTCTATATTTTTCTTTTCTTCTATTTTCTATTAGATATGACACTTTGTTAATTTTCACCTAGTATTTTCTATATTTTTCTTTTATTCTTTTTTTTAACTAACATTTTCTCTCTCCTTTTCTTTTATCATTTTTATTTTTTATATCATTTTTTATTTTTTTGTTATTGTTAGTGGGAAGTCGTCATCGGTTCCTAAAAATTAGAAAATTCGATGACTCATCCACCTATTAATTTTCTAATATAATTATAAAATAAAACCTAAAAACTAGACATTGACTAAGAAATTAAACAAATATAACTCAAAAGTTCAAAAATATTGAATCCGAACTAGGCATAAAATAAAAAACATGTATGAAAATTTAGAACCGATTTACCTAGGAAAATAGGTAAAAATAAGGTTTTGGAGCCTTTTGGGTCTATTAGGTCGGGTGCTCGAAAGGGATAGAGTTTGTTTGCTAGTTTGATTGATGATGGTGAGGTTTTTAGATGGTTTAGTGGAAGCCGAGAAACTCGTTGTTGGTAGGGGTGATCAAACGATTCGGTTAATCGAAAATCGAATTAAACCGAATCGAATTGTGAAATTTGATTTGGGTATAAATTAAAAAATGTATAATTTATAACCAAATAAAAAAAACCGATATAAATTCGGTTCGGTTTTGTTTTTTTTAGGAAACGGTTTGAACCGAAAACCATTTTTTTTTAATTCCTAATTCTAATTCCGAATAACCGAATAAGATCTAAATAAAATATGTAATCATCTAACCCTAACTCGGACACTCGGCAACTCCCTCTCCAATCTCTCGCCTCCGTCTCTCTTTGTCTCCCTTACCCGAGCTACCCTTAGTCGCCTCTTTCGTCTTTCCTTTCCTTTCGAGGCGGACGAACTCACGTAGTATCCAACGTCACCACCTAGCATTCCAAGCAAGCTCGCTAGCAACGAGCAAACTCGGCCTCTCTCATTCTCGTCTCTCGTACTCTCAACATAAGTCTCGGACTCTCGGCCTTTCACGGATCTTGCACTCTCAAAGCCTCACTTTCTTCTCATGTTCTTCACTCTCTACTCCAAGTGATGATGACTCGGCCGAGTCCTCTGTGCTCCGGGCTCCAATCCTCTTCTAATCTTCCTTCGTCAAGCTTTATGTCTTTCAAGGTTAGTCTCTTTTATTTTAATTTTTTTTACCGATATGTGATAACAACAATGTATTGGGCATAGAATAAGTTTTTTAGATTCCTTAGTGAGTTGTGAGAACCGATATGCTTTGTTCCGCACTATGGTGTTGTCTTGGTTGGAAGCTCGAAGCGTTACCTTAAAATGTTTATCGTGTCCCGTTGGTCGTTGGCATCTATTTTCCTTTCCGGTTATCGGAGTCCGTGATTCCGTACTTTATTTGCGTTAGTCCGGTTATCAAGCTGTGTTTTGGTTTCAACTCGGGGTAAGGGTGACGATTTGTTCATGTCTAAGTCTAACTCTTATTTTCTTTTCTCTTATTTGTTTGTTTCGGCATTTTTTTATTTTTTTTCTGAATTGACCCTTACATTAGAGCGTATGTATGATCAATATTCAATATAATTGAACCGAGTTGCTTTTTGTATGATTTGCACACATATATGATCATTATAATTGAACCGATCCTTGTATTAGAGCATTATGTCATTCATGCTTTTCATAGTAGCACTTTGCATTTTTCTAAAGAAATAGTGATATCCTCACCGTTAAATGTTAATAAAAGCGAGATGTTTACAATAGCAAAATGAGAATCCGAAAACAACAAACCAACACCAACGATCCGTGTCCTAGCGAGTGAGATCCATTGATCAACACATCAATAGGGCGGTGATGAAACCATGTAGAGGGTAGGAAATGGGAAGCTTGGAAACAATCAATAAGGCAGCAAATTGATGTATGGAAATATGGAATCGGTTGAAAGGAAAGACTAAAGAGCAAGTAAGGATGTGAATGGTAGCCGTTAGGGAGGGAGTTGAGTTAGTTAGCTAACATGGCAAGAGTTGGTTATGGATGTTAGATTGAGAGGGAAAGTTAGTTAGAAACAAACACTTTATAAATCATGAGTAATTCATTATAAAAGAGCTATTCTCGCCATTTTAGATCAATATTGAATTTACTCTTCTTGCTGATTTCTCATTTATTACTTTATTTTCCGTTCTTCTTGGTTTTTGATTTGCATAACTAATTTTAAAATTGATAGTTGTTAAAATCTTTAACTCGTTGTTAATCTCTATTTAGTCTTGAAAGAATCATTAAAACCTATAATTCATTATTTCATTTAGAATTTGGCATCACACAAGTAAACTAAGCTAAATTCTTATCCACAAAGAACTATCTATTGTTGTTAAGCAATCTTTCTTCATTTATCTTCTCATTTTCTCTCTTTTAATCACATACATATAACCAAAAATTGGATAGATGAAATGAATGCTTAAAAGTTCTACATAATTAAATAAGTAGAGTTTAATTACTGAATGAATTCATAAAAAGAAATGAACATACTTTTTCATATACCCGTGCAATTTTAATAGCATTTTTTTTTGTGTATGAAAGCGATTAAGCTATTTATTTTAGGGTTAGACTCGCTTTTTTGTTTGCTACTGATTTAGGGGAGGATCTTCTAGAATTCTACCTAACTTTGCTATCGTCTAAGTGTCTAACCTGTCTTCACTCTTCGGCATGGACAGTTGGACACACCTTTTGACTTTTGTTAAGGCACCTTTTGTTAAGGCAGAGGCGATAGCATCCGCCTATATTTGATTTGTTGTTATCAACAGTAGACAGTTCCATTCCATATTATGCTACCAACTTGGCAACTTGTGTATATTTATTATGTTTTTTTTTATTATTTAAGAGTGTGAAGCTTAATACTCTTGTTCCTTTTTATTTATGTAGATGTCACAATCTCAATCTAAAGAGATGAATTATGAACATGTGAGTTCAAGCAATCCCAATACACAATCAAGTGTAGGTGTAGGTCCAACTTCAATTAACACTCAGAAGATGTCAAAGGAAAGAAGAGGAAATCAATGAAGCCGGGATCGATGGTGTGGGACCATTTCACAAAGTTTGATGATGACAATAAAGACATGAAGGCTAAATGCAACTATTGTGATAAGGTATTTACTTGTAATCCTTCAAAAATGGGACAACCTCACTTAGGTCTCATGTTTTGACTTGTAAAAAAAACCCTTTTAGTTGTGTTGACTCTACACAAACTCAATTAGACCTTAGAAGGCTTGAAGTGGGAGAAAATAGTCTTAGCACATGGAAGTTTGATCAAATTGTTAGTAGAAAAGATTTAGCTGAAATAATCATTCTAGATGAACTTCCATTTAAGCATATAGAGGGTAGGGGATTCAATTTTTTTTTTTTATCTAATTTACAACCTAGATTCAAACTTCCATCTCTTTTTATGATTTCAAGAGATTGCTATCAACTTTATTTAGATGAGAAAATAAAGTTGAAGCAATTTTGAAACAAAATAGTCAAAGAATTAACCTCACTACGGACGCATGGACATCTATTCAAAGAATCAATTAAATGTGTTTAAAACTCATTTTATTGATAATGATTGGAAGTTGCATAAAAAAGATCTTGAATTTTTATCCAATTGATAGTCATAAAGGAGTAAATTTAGGTATTGTCTTTGAGAAGTGCTTGATTGATTGAGGAATTGAGAAGGTTTTTAGTGTTACGGTTGATAATGCAAGTTCGAATGATGTGGCAATTAGACACTTAAAAGATGTGATTAAGAATTGAGGTTATAGCATCTTAGATGGAGAATTTATTTATATGAGGTGTATTGCACATACTTTGAATGTAGTTGTTGCTGATGGGTTAAAACATTTTAATCCTTCGATCGTTCGTATTCGATCGACTGTTAGGTTTGTGAGGCAATCTCTAGCTAGGTTGAGAAGATTTAAGGAATGCATTCAACTTGAAAAAATTGATTCTAAGAGTTTGTTACAACTAGGTGAAATTTAATATATTTGATGTTAGAGTCGGCTCTAAAGTTTGAGAGAGCTTTTAAGAGATATGAGCAAATTGATCCTTTATATAGGAGTGAATTTGATGTAGATCTTGGTGATAATGTTGTTGGGCCACCTAATGTGGATGATTGGAAGACTTGTAAGAAGATGGTGGGCATGTTAAAAAATTTTTACAACCTTATTTTGCGCATTTCGGGTTCCTTGTATGTGACTTCAAATATTTTTTTTGAAGAGATTTATGCACTCGAACATGTTTTCAAAAAATGGCAACGAAGTGAGGATTTGGATGATTTTGCATTGGCTAATAAAATGAAAGAAAAGTTTGAGAAGTATTGGGAGAATATTAAGAAAATGAACAAGTTGATTTATATTGCGATAATACTTGATCCTAGGCATAAACTTGTATTTATTGAATTTTCAATCAAGAAATTGTACGGTGATTTAGAGGGTTAAATATGTCAAATATTGTGAAGGGATCTATAAATGCCATGTATGATTTCTATTGTCGTTCATCATCTCAAGATGAAATTGGCCAAGCTAGTGGGAGTTGGGGAATAGATGTGGATTGTGCAAATGAAGAAATGATTGATGAAGAAGAAAATAGAATAAAAATAGAGATAATGATGTGTTTGAAAAATAAAAGTATGATATTGGAAGTGAAGGAAATAAAACGGAGTTGGATAAATATCTTGATGAAAGTGCTGAAAATAATAGTGCTGATTTCAAGATTTTAGAGTGGTGGAAAACCAATGCTCCTCGGTTTCCCATCCTTTCACAAATGGATAGGGATGTATTAGCGATTCCTGTTTCTACGGTCTCCTCATAATCGACATTTAGCCTCGGAGGAAGAGTTCTTGACTCGCTTTAGGAGTTCTTTAACTCCCACCTTAGTGGAATCTATTATATATGCTCAAGATTGGATTAAAAATTCATCGACGCCAATTATTATTGAAGAAAATTTACAAGATGTAGAGAAAATACAAAATGATAATTTCTATAACTCTTATAATTTAATTTGTTATTTCTTTCCTATATATTAATGATAAATGGTTAATTTTTTTATCTTTTATTTTTCAAAGTTACCAATTGCCGGTGCCACTAACTCTACTACAAATGTTTGATGGGTTGATTACTCGATAGTGTTATGGCTTTTTGAATGATATGTGTAAGTTATTAAGTTTTTAAGTTTGATTTTTTTATTTTTGTTGCTTATGCATGGTTGGATGTCCGACTTACATTTGGTCAATGCTATTGGCCTACTGCCTACTCGACCTTGAATTAAATTTTCATTACACATATCGAGTGCGTCCAAGTGTCCATTGGATGTCCGACGGTGTCCAAGGCTCCGAGCCGATCGATCGTTGAAGGAGGCTTAAGGGTCGAAGGTTGTCCAAGGCTACAAGCAAGACTTTTTATTGTGGGTAATTTTCTTTATGGTTTTTGGATGTGTAGTAATTTCTAATCTAGATTTTGGTATGTAAGTATGTTGCATTGTTGATGAATCTTTCTTACTTTTTTTTTTACATTCTTTGAGGTGTTGGACTGTTGGTAGTCAAAGACTCAAAGTCTAAGTAAGAATGTTGAATGTTGCATGTTGAATGTTGCTTTCCATATTTTCATATTTGTTGAATGTTGTATGATTTGTATCTCGTCAATATTTGGCTATTTGGTGCGTCCGATGTGTTTAGTTGATTGGTTCCGCTTAATGTCGTCCGCCTTCGGTGCTTCTATCTATCGCCTTTTGATTGCTACATGTCTACGTCTACTTACGCCTAATGCCTTCTCGTTCTTGCATCCGGTCCAGTGACTTGGTGAGTCCGGTGCATTCTTTTTATTCTTGAGTTTATTGATTTTAGATGAGTTGTTTAGTTTTCTTGCAATTTTAGACTTCAATTTGTTGTTTGTTGGGTGATTAGGATTGGTTTTATTATACGAGCAATGCTGATATTTGTCATGATGGTGGCCAATTAGCCAATCACATATTAGCCTTGTGGTTGTTTCTTTATGTGAATGGTCGGTAAGCTCACCGAAAGCAGCTCGTTAGTGGAATTTGATAGTAAGCCGAAACTGTGGCTTCACTTTCTATAATGTATTCATGTGCATGTATGTGATTTTTCGGATGCTTGTGAGTCGAAGATGACACTTTAGCAATAAAGGAAACCATCAATCGAGTGATTAATCGGTTGAGGGACTTTAAGAGCGAGTTAGCATCCAATTTCGGTCATCAATCCTGTCATCTTTGGAACCTTCTCGTCGAATATTTTGGAACTTTCATTGTTGTCTTAGTTCACTATCTTGGAACTTTCATTTTTGTCTTAGTTTATAAATGACACGCAAACCATTTTAGGATGTACTTATTACATTTTTTTAATAGTAAATTAGTTTCGATACCATAAAAATAAAAATCTTTCACGGGAATAAAATTTTGGTTATAACCGAATTATTTTGGTTCGGTAATCGAATTATTTCGATACCGAACCAAAATAATTCGGTTACAAATCAAATT